GTCGTCGACGTACAGCCAGTACCTGAACAAGGACCTGGTGGGCAAGACTGTGCTCGAGTTGTGCCACCCGAACGACTTTCACAAAGTGGAACAGCACCTGAAGGAGGCGCTGTCCACCAAGACTAACACAAGTCGGCGGGCAATGCTGTGGTCGAGCAGTTCACCACACGGCTCGACCTGACGGGCAAAATACTGGCCATCGACACGTCGGGCGTGTCGTCGACGTACAGCCAGTACCTGAACAAGGACCTGGTGGGCAAGACTGTGCTCGAGTTGTGCCACCCGAACGACTTTCACAAAGTGGAACAGCACCTGAAGGAGGCGCTGTCCACCAAGACTAACGTCATATCCAACATCTACCGGCTGATGGTGGCCACCGATAAGTACGTTCACGTGCAGACTAAGTACAAAGCGTTCAACGGCGCACCGCCCGGCGTCACCGGCATCGGCGGTCACCCGACAGGCGTGGGCTCCGGCAGTGGTCCGGAGGCCACGAACTTCATAATGGCTATCCATTCCATAATCAGGGACTCCGAGAACAGTTGTTCGTCGGAGCCGTCGTCGTCGAGGGGCGGCACTCCGTCGCCCATCACGACCGTCGCCGCCAACGCGGCCAACAGCTGGTCCGGTAATCCCACATTTGCCAGCACTATAGCCAATAGCGTCGGCAGTGGTGGCGGTACTGGCGGTCAGTTGATTATGACCAGCGGTGCCGGCGGTGTCAACAACAACCTGATTACGTCTAATTTGCTCACCAGTGGCTCAACGATGGCCAGCACTCAGCCCATGACAGTGGGACCCGTTATCTACGCCAACACCCAAACCGGTATGATATCGACGCAGCCATTCCCGCCCTTCCCGGCGCTGTCACTGTCGCCGTCGGCGGTGTCCGACTTCACGCTGAATGACTGTTTGGGTGGTATCGGCGACATGTATTCGTACGACATGTACGACACCAACAGTCAAGAGTCGCAACAACAACAACAGCACCAGACGTCGGCCAACACATCCACTGTCCAGTCGATGACAATGCAGTCGATGGCGCCGACCTCCTCATCAGCCATGTCCTCCTCATCCGTCTACACGACAGTGACCACAGCGCCGGCCAATACGATGGCTTCGGCCGGCGGTCGGCACCAGACGACGTCACCCCTATGTGCCTCACAGTCGCCATTAATGGCTAATCTGGTCAGAAGTCCATCCAATCCGTCGCCGCAGTCACTGCAACACAACTACAACAACAATAACAGTGGTTTCGATGCGGACTTTTCGCCGTCGGCTCAACACCATAATCAACAGCAGTCGTCCTCAGCCTCTTCGGCCACACATAAGCTCAGGAATCTGTTAACTCAGGGCTCGTCGTACTTACCGGACGACGGAGTGGCCGACAGCGGAGGCGGTGGTGTCCGACCGCCAGTGAGTGCGGTGTCGATGATGAGCATCAAGAAAGAGCCGGGCCTTCAAAATGACTTTATTCTGCGGGAACTGCTCGAAGAGGACGAAGACATACCGCCTGTGGTTAGCGTCGGCGGGTGTATGTCGTCGGTGAACGACCCGACTATGTGTGGCGGCCCGCTCTCAGTGGGTCCGCAGCCGCACACTCCGGCCTACAGCGAGTCGTCGTGTCCGGGAAGTGTTGGCAGTGATAGCAAAAAGGTGGCCAACAATAACAATATGCTGCGAATGCTGCTCAACGACGACGAGGTCGGCAAACGCACCGACAGTCGCAAGAGTCACGAGATTGTGGAACACTATTTGCTCAAAGATAATAACCCCGGAGTCGGACCCGCTGGTGGTGATCATACGCGCGACACGATGTTGTCCAGTCTGATGGCCCAGCAGTTCAAACGGGAACCGATCGACTCGACGCGTAATTATTGTACTTATGATTATTTATTATTTTTTTATTCTGATTGTTTTTGTCTTGTGATTACAATCTTTGTCTTATTCTTCCACTTCTCTGATGGAAAAGTTTTTGTGTGTTTTTGGTTTTGTTTTTGGTTTGATTTTCTTTGTCTGACTTTTAGTTATAATTCTTGTGGTGAGAGAAGAAAGGGTTGATAAGAGTTTTGTTTGCTTTTCAAATGTTAGTCTCTCTCTCTCTCTCTCTCTCTCTCTCTCTCGATATCATATCTGCAAACAATTTACCAATAGATGAATGAATTCAAACTTTCCAAGAATTTAAAGTCAAACAATGAATTCAAATGTTAATCCATATCTTCGGCAGACATTAGTTGTATATTTTTTGAAACGACTTTTGAAAAGTTTTCATTCAAATAGCGATTGAAATAATTGTTTTTATAATTATTTAATTGTTTTTCGAAATGAGTTTTGCATTTAAATTTTTTGCCGTGAATTAAGTTTTTGAGTTAATTATTTGTTTGTTTGTTTCGCTACAGAAAATAATTGATGCCTTTATTGATTGATTAATAGATTGAGTGATTATTTTCGTGATTTACTAATAATTATCGTTATTATAGATAATTAAAACCGTTCGCCAAACCCATTCCCCTCCCGCCCCACACCTCCTATTCAACTCTAGTTTATGGCTTGATTTGACTAATTTATAGGCAAATTTAGTCTCTCTCTCTCTCTCTCTCTCTCTCTCTAAAAATCTCCTTTTATAGTGTTTTTATCACATTTGACTGTATTTTGATTGTAATTTTAAATTATTGTTAAGTGAATGAGACTTAACGTCAAACAGAGAGAGAGAGAGAGAAGAGAGAGAGAGAGAGAGAGAGAGAGACTGAATATGTGGAGAAGTAGTGTCTCTCTGGTCTAAAATGCAATTTCATTCACGAATTGGTCATAAAAACGATAGACTCCTTAGAAAAACCAGTTCCTCAACCGATTCGCTCAACACTTGAAAACACATATTTTGCCCATAATTTTCGCACAACACTCGTAATGGTTGTGTACATATGTGTCTACCCTTTCCCTCCCTATCCCTCTCAACACTACCATAACTACTACTACTCCCTAACGGAACAGCTCTTAGGCTATGACTGAATGAGAATTGCCATAAGTGTTGTCCTCAATATCTATAAATGTGTTGTTTTAAACATTTAAATGATTTTTCTCACACTTTTCTGTATGTGTTTAGAAGTTTATTAATTGTTTTAATTTAATGATAATCAATGATGGTATTAATGGCATTTATTTACCCCAATGTTTTACAGCGTGTTCGGCGCCGTCATCGTCATCGGGTCTGCCCACGAGTCTCAGCGAAGTGATGGCCACAACTCTGGCCAACAAACGCAAGTCGATCGACGACACGGCCACCCATTACGAGCCCCAAACGCAGGACTTGAAACGGCCCGCCTCTGCGGTGGCCACCGGCGCAGTGGGTGTGCCGATCGGTGCGGCGCACGGCGGCCATAGTCATCAGCCGGCGCTGTTGGCCGGTCAGAACCCGATGCTGGCGTCGATGTTGGCCCGAACGCCCACATCGGTGCCCGAAGAGATCACAATACCGCCGTCGATGATCTCGCAGACGCCCGACGCCAAACTGCCCCGCAATCTGGAGAAGAAGCTGATGAACCCCACGCAGGGGATGCCCGGTCAGCACCAGCAGCACCCACAGCAACAACAACTACTCCAACAGCAAGTCCTCTCCCAATCCTCTGGTCAAGTGTCACAATCGGGCGGTCAAGTGATCTTCGCATCTGTGCCCCAATCGCCTCAGACATCATCCCAACAGCCAATGATTGTGCCCATTGTGACGAACGTCACGCAACTCAGACCTCAACAACAGGTCTGTGTTTACCAGTGATTACCACTGATTGTCTATTTTTGTGTTTTTTATTGATATTAATGTCTTATTTGATCCGCAGATGCATTATCAACAAACTCCTCAACGTTTACAAATTCAACCGCAAGTACAACAACCCATCCGTTTACAAGATTTACAACATTTACAACAAATCGGACCGCAATCTCAGCCGTCGGTCGGCCACCAACTGGTCCATCAACAGCAGCAGCAGCAACAACAGCAGCAACAGAACGGATCCAACTTTTTGAACTCAATCCTGTCGAACAGTGGCCAAAATCATCAACAGATTCGGGCACTAATGCAAGTCCAGTCGCACCCACAACAGCAACAACAACAGCCACACCAACAGATCCAACAACAACAGCAGCCGCAGGGATCGGTGGCCACACCACACACGCCATTACAGGTGCAGCCCTTCTACCAACAGCAACAACAACAGGTGCCGCAGCAGAACAGTCAACAACAGCAACAACAACAACAGTTGCAGTCAATGCAGTCGCAGCCACAACAACACCCGATGATTGGGTCGGCGGGTCCGCCGCAGCTATCGTTTGACGAGTCGGTGTCCGATCCGGACCTGTCATCCATTCTGGACGACTTCATTAGTATGCAGCAGGAGATGAATATGGATCTGGTCGGCGGTGGCGGCGGCAACGGTGGCCGCAATCGTCAGACACCGGTATCGCAACAGAGCGAAGACGTGATGCTCTTACGGATACTGGAAGAGGTGATCGAGCCGTCCACGCCGTCGTCGGCTACCGGTGTGCCCAATACGCCGACAACGCCGCAGCCGCCCATCGATCTCAACGAGCGGATGGCCATATCGGCCATCCAGAAGCAGCTGATGAGCTTCGAGGTGACGACACCCACCACACCGACACTCCAGTCGCCGTTCGCCACTCAAGCCCAACAGCAGGCGCCCAGTTATCAGCAGATACCGCCGCCGGCCTACACCGCACCCTCTTATGTACAGCAAATGGGAAACACTGGTCAACAGGTATGTCCATTGACGACAACCCCTTTAAACCACTTACTAATGAATTATTTATGTTACTCTCGCATAGGGTGTGCCCTCACCGCAGGCCAACTTCCAGCTCCAACCACGACCTCAGGGCCCGCGGCTGTCGAAACCGCGTCAGCAATACCTGCCGCAGAATATGCAGCTGAACCCCAATCTGACACAAGTGGCCGCCGCGCAGATGAAGGCCCAACAGATGACACCGCAAATGCGCCGACAGCTGAGCGACAACCGCAAGACTCTGGCCGAGCAGCAGAAGCAACGACTGCTCGCCCAACAGTCGCTGCAACAGATGATACCGCAAACGCAACAATCGGTGGACGCCATGAGTTTCCAGGGCTTTCCCGAGAATATGAACGAACTGCTCAACAACTCTGTGGCCCCGAACGTGGCCTTAAGTGTTAAGCCCCGCGGAGGCGGCGGCGGTCCGGGCAGTGTTGGCGGCCCCCACACGCCCAACAGCCTGTCCGACGTGTCTCAACTGTCGCCGCGTTACCCGATGCCGATGAGCGCCGGCGGCGGCAACGGTGGAGCCGTTCCGTCGCCCTTACCTCAGTCACCGGCGCCCCAACTGAGTCCCGGACCGGCCCAACTGAGGCAACCCTTCTCGCCGGCCACCGGTGCCGGTCAGCAACAGCAACAACAGCCGGGCCAACAGTCATATCCTAGTCCCTCGGGTACCGCTACGGCCGGCTATCCGACCGCTAATCAGCACAGAATGTCACCGCACTTTGTCTCCTCGCCATCGCCGGCACAGGCCGGCGGTCCCAACTCGCCGATGATGGTTATGTCGCCGCAGACCAACTCGTGGGCGCCCCAGTCGGTGGTGCGGCCGCCGCCGCAGATGCCTCAGAACAGTCAACAGTCCGTCGGCCAGAATGTCTCACTACAACAGACAAACCCTATGCTCAATGCACAGCTTTCAGGTAAATACCGGGCAAATACCCGGGCATTGCCTTCACTTCTTGAACCCCTCGGCGCCCCCTCTATGCCGCTCATAATTATGGCTTTAATATGTGTTTTGTGTGACAATTGTTTCGCCGATTAAATGCTTGTAAAGTAATTGAAATGTGTTTAGCGTTTAATTATATGAAATATAATTTTTTGTTTTGTTTGAGATTTACTAATTTTTGGGTGTTTTTGGGTAGAGTTTAGTTAACTCTTTCGTTTCGTTGCCAAACTCTCTGTGGGTTTGGTATGAATGACACACACATCCCATCTCTACCCTTACGTTATATACCTATTGTTTAATACAATATTGTATTTATTATTATGTAAGTTATTAAACCACACGAACGATAACACAAATAACCCCGTGATTTATACTGCGATATATACTATATTTGTGTTTTGTTTAGTTATGTTTTTTTGCTGTCGAGACAATCCATCATTTTTACGATCGACTTATATATCGGCCAAACGTTTATATCTATTAGTGTTATTGTCTTTTAGTTTCGCTGTCGTTGTGAACGAAATACATATAAAAAACAATATATTTATCACACTTTTTATGTTGTTTTCGCAACACATTTTTCTATCAATGTCTTGACGATCTCTCTCTCTCTCTCTCTCTCTCTCTCTCTCGTCTATTGTCGACAAGTTTTATGACATTTGTTTTATGGCTTTCTCTCATGTCATTCGCTCTCTCGCTATCTATATATCGTTTGGTGGAAATACACTGTCTTTCGGGTTCATTGTTATCCATTTGACAGCCAGTCCTCTCCCTCTCTAAGTCATATACCCTCACAGTATATACCAATTACTTGTATATCGCAAACAGTATTCACTATTTCTATTAATAGTGTATTTAATTGTATGTTTATATGACCGGCGCTTAACGCTCATACATGTATGTTGTCGACAGTGTAATGCCATTGATATACTGCTGTATGCATTCAATCCCATTGCCTATTGTGTTGGCCACTCAAACCTATTAACTCAATTACTCAACAAATATTGTATTAAATGCATGATTAGTGCAAAGAATTTGTCCAAATATTCTGTATGCAAAGTAATCATGAATTCAATTATTAGTTTTATTGTATGAATATTGAGCTCCAATTTTGACCATAAGTTTTTTTGTTGTACTTTTTTTTAAATACCCCGGGTGTTTAATTTTGTTGTTGTTGCTTTTATATCGTGGGTTTTATTGTAGGCTTTAATTGTCGGCACTTTATTTGGGCTTTAATTTTTGCAGCAATTGTTTTGCATTTGTTTTTAGCGTTAATTTAAAAATAAATATAATTAAATAGTATTTGTGTTGTTTGTGTGTCATTAGGGTTAATGTGATTGTTGTGTTGTTCGCTACCGATTGTGCCGATAATTGCATTGGTTTTTACCTGTTTTGTGTTGTTTATGTCATAGTAATCCCTGTCCGCACATACATGTGCTAAATATAGCCCACAATTGCATTATTTTGCACACTTTACACAAAAAAAAAACAAATCGTGAAAACAATTGTCACCAAAACTTTTTGAAATTGATTTATTATTCAAGACTAAAATAATTTGTAAATTATTATTACCGGTAACATAATTTTTGATTCAATTTGTTTGATGATTTGTAGGTAGCGCTCAGGTCTACGCCAATACGGGTCCACAACAACAACAACAGCAACGGTTCCCACCGCGGGCTATGCGGGCGGCGGCGCCACCGCAGCCCCGCAACTCCCGAAGCTCTCCCTATCCGGACCAGCAGTTCGCGCAACAGTTTGTCGGCCAAGTGGTGGTCCAACAACAGCAGCAACAGGTGCTGGGCGTCCGACAGCCGCCCCAACCCCAGCAGCGTATGGCCATCGGGTCGATACCGGCGCCGATGCGAGTGAATTCGCCGCGTTTTGCCGGCGACCAGTCGCTGCCCTCACCGAACCAGTACCCGAACCTACAGCCGCAGCAACAGTCGTACGGCCACTCACCCGACGGTTTCAATTTTGATCAGGCGTTTGGCGGTAACGGTAGTCAACCGGCGACACCACAGCCCGGCGGCGGACAACAGCAGAACGACCGCAGCCGTAACAACTCCGGCATGACCTCCGAGTACGTGCGCCAAGAGTTGCGGAGTCACATCAGCGGCCGGTCGGCGTCCGCCCACCACCAGTCGATGACCCAACAGCAGGTCCAGCAGGTGGTGGTGTCGCAGCAACAACAGCAACAGCAACAACATCAGCAACAGCTGTCACTGTCGGCCGATTTAGACATGTTTAGCCTATTGAGCGATAGTAACGACGACTTTACGTCCGGTTTGCTTAATAGTATGGACAACAGCTCCGGCATTAACTCTCCCGTCTCTCATCTCAACCTCAACATTGGCCGACCCAACGCTATGGTAAGTGTTGAGCACTCATAGCACCTGTGCTCACAGTTATGATTGTTTTTTTGTGGTATTAATTGTTTGTGTATTTGTTGTGATCATAGGATGACTCGAAACCAAGTGATCAAAAGAAGAGTCTTCTGCAGCAGTTGCTGTCCGAGCCGTCATAACCCTTACACACACTACGAAGACATCACATCCCATAATATTAATTATTGATATTTATATTATATATTTGTTAACGAAATTGACATTTAATTACTGAATCGAAGCGACGAAACCGTGAATTTAGTTATATTTTGTGTGAAAAAATATATATCCATTACTACTACTGCCCGACGAGTGAACTCAATATATATATATAATTGTTTTGTTAATTAAGTTATCGATTGATTGAGTGATTGACTGAAAAGCGAAATCTATTTTCTGACGATTGAATGGAAAGCATCCGTTGAGAGAGTGATAGTGAAGACACACCAGAGGAATGGGATGTGTCTATAGTTTGCTTATAATACACACATCTCTCACACACATACTCACCGTCGATGAAGACAATGAATGGCAAGAAATAGCACTTAATTATAGTTCAAAAATATATACACAATTCAAACGTGACTTATTGTTGACGACGAAGAAGTAGACGAAGAATATAGATATATACCGACGAAGATATAGAAGATAATTATTTTTTGGGCCAATTTTATCGACAATATATACACCACAACACACTCTCTCACAAAACACAGACCACACCTGTGTTACGGGTTTAAGACTAATTATATACACATATATATAACAACCATTGCCTGAATTACAAACACAATTGATTTAATTGCCATCCAATCGATGAATATCTGTGGACAACAACAACAACACACACACAAGAACTCAATGGACTCACCAGAAGTGATGATAACAACAAACCTGTTATAAGTGATGGGATATCTCTAATACCGTGTAATAATAAGTTGTTTTAATTGATTTGATTAAACAACTCTTCACTTCGTAACAGAATTACAGACAAAACACTGAAATGAATTGCTTTTGTGGAGAATATTCTGTGTTTGTATTCATTTATTATTTGTGTTGTTATGATATAATATACGAGGTTTTACTTCAAGGAATTACTAAGATTATTATTATTGCTATTAATTATTACATTACATATACATTGAGTGCAAAAACACAAACCAAACCATTCATTATATACATATTTATATAGTTCTAGTTATATCTGGTTTTAATTATGCCGACCACTGGTCACCGCCCGGTGTATTGGTTTGGCTAAAACACCACATAATAAGCGTATATATAATAGTGTTTTTTATATGATTGTAATTAATACATGATTAGAAATGATTTGTGTCTTAATTATTATAGTTTTGGTTTTGTTTTTAATTGCAATTAGAAATGAATTCTC